TAGTGTCTTCTGCAGTTGTACTGGGTGGACTGGGGGCCTGAGACTGCATTTTGTTCCTTCTCTTTGTCATTTTTGTATACCACTGTCTTCTGACCTTTGGTGTAGAGCTTAAATAGAGTTATTATCTTAGCACTAGGTCTGGATCTATGAAGTTCAGATTCCTCCAGGTGGGTGTTGTTTGGATCTGGTTGCTGTGCTCTATTTCTTTCTGCTGCAGCCGTTAGAGCTGAACCCTTTGTGTCTCTCTGGCAAGATGTTCTGCCCCTGAATCAGCTGGGTGGGTCTTGCCTCTAGCCTCTTTGCAGGGAGTTCTGCTGAAGGGTTCCTCTCTGGGCTTGCACTCTGGGTCGAATGACGATCTGCGGGCCCTGGGTGGTCTCACTCACATGCCGGGCCTGGGCTCTGGGTCTTCAGGATCCAGCGGCCCTGGGCAGTCTTTCTCAGTCTCTGGGCCTGGGCTCTGGGTCTATTCAGGATCCACGGGCCCTTGGTCGCCTCACTCACTCACCGGGCCTGCGCTCTGGGTCTATTCGGGATCCTGTGGCCCCGGGTCCTCTCACTCACTCGCTGGGCCTGGGCTCTGGGTCTATTCAGGATCCACGGGCCCTTGGTCGCCTCACTCACTCACCGGGCCTGCGCTCTGGGTCTATTCGGGATCCTGTGGCCCCGGGTCCTCTCACTCACTCGCTGGGCCTGGGCTCTGGGTCTATTCAGGATCCACGGGCCCTTGGTCGCCTCACTCACTCACCGGGCCTGCGCTCTGGGTCTATTCGGGATCCTGTGGCCCCGGGTCCTCTCACTCACTCGCTGGGCCTGGGCTCTGGGTCTATTCATGATCCCACCTGTATTTTTAAATTAAGGTAAAAAACTAAATAATAGACCACTTTCATTAAGAAAGAAGAGTAAACTCTCTGGGTAAAGAGTAAAATTTATCTTAATATAATAAAGGTATGGTTCCTAAACCTGAGTGATTATCCTGCAATGTTTAGTTTTTAAAGATACAGATTTCTGATACTTAACAAGCTGT